CTAAGAAGCACTTTGGGAAATGCTTTTGGCTTTCCGAGTCCTTTCAAAAGCATGGCAGAGCAGGGCTTCCTCGTGCCATAGAGCATCCCCTCTCCCACCTCTCATATGGCATATCCCACATGAGTTCAAGTCTCCACAGGGATATTCCCTTACACCTTCCCATAAGTTCGACCAGAAGCTACCACCTCACAAACATCAGGGATTTCAGAAGATACTCAAAGAGAAAGGGTGAGTCTGCAGGAAGGTCAGAGTGAAGGAAAAACTTGCAGACAGCTGAGGCCAAGTGAACTTTTTTTATTATTGCTTCTCACAAGAATAGGAACAAGATGGCAAGGAAGAACACATGGGCAAATTCCTCCTGCCGCATCAGTACAAAGAGGAATTAGAGAATACCTCTCCCAGGCAATATCCTGGGGGCACAAAGTCACTTAGGTACAAGTTACAAGGAAAGGAATTGTTCTTTGATTAAATACAGCAGAAATGATGCAGAGCACGAGAAGAAATCGTTGGAGGATTTACTCTTCTTAGGGCAGGAAAGGCACTAGGAAATGGAAGTCCGGAGAAAGCCGTTGGCAAGCACAGGGATCAGCAAACCATTTTCGTTCCTTAGGCTTTGGAGACTCCACAGGACAATGGTACTGCAGAGTAGGGTCACGTTGATGCTGTCACCACGGGAGACCTATATGCAGAGCCTCATGGAGCAACGCAGATACTTCATCAGACATCAATGAGACCCAGGTTCAAGAAAATGGTGTTGCCGTTGCTCTCAGCTCCACTGCATGCATTCACGCACCTCCCGGCATTCTGGGACACATCAATAGTGCCCAGGTTCAAGAAAATGGTGTTGCCATTTGTCGCACCTCCACTGCATGCATTCACGCACCTCCCGGCATTCTGGGACACATCAATAGTGCCCAGGTTCAAGTAAATGGTGTTGCCCCTGCTCACATCCTTGCAACAGGGATCCACACACCTGGCATTCCGGAGCACATCGAGATTGCCCTGGTTGAAGTAAATGGGGTTGCCCTGAGGATTCCCAGCATTTCTATATGAATACAGATATGGAGCCACAAGAGGGGTGTTAGCCAGATTTCTCATAGCATCTTCAAATCTTCCTAAGGAAGAACTTCCCAGCTGGGCGTTTGGAGAGAGAAAGCAGGGCTGTCTCAGATCGCAACCGTTTTGGAAACTCATCTTTGAGGGACGGGTATTATCTGAAATCAGGAAAGGAATACACTTTGAAGAAAACAAAGACATTCAAATTTCACAAGCTGTTTTATACCCCTCCTTTAACTACAATTTTTCAAGGCGAATCCTGAACAATATCCTGGGAAACAGCCTCAAATCCAGAGCAAAGCACTAAGCCCACAAAAACGCACTCAGACATTTAGCTGCTGGCTGCACGTACATTTCAAACAACTTCTTTTCCAAAGAAGAAAGAAAGGTGGTGCTGTCTCGACTCAGGGAGATTATACGGCAAGGTCTGAAATCATGGCACTACTCACATATCCATGGAGTATCTAGTTTATGGATTAGCTCTATGACATGACTTCCCAAATTCCACCCACACAGGAGACTCCTAGGTTTGTGACAGCGCCTTGTTCATGCGCAGATCCTCAGCTAGAGGACATGAAGGAAGGCATTGTGACAAAAAACTGCCGCAAGGAAAGAAGCTGATGCTTATAGTGCAGCAGCTTTCCCGCCTCTCCCACAGAAGTCCTTTGAGCTCTTCTCATCCGCATTTCCTTCCAGGCATTGCAGCCTGCAAGATCCACTTCTTCTCTTCCCTCCCACTTTTTTCCTTTGCAGTCCTAAGCCTTGCCTTTCCATCTTTCTCAAACCCACTAATTTCATGCCTGAAACAGAGTAGATTGTCCTTGGGAAAAGAGAGAGATTATTCCCCTTAGAGCTACCCTGAGACTCTTCTTGATGGAGAAGGCTCAGCAATTGCAAAGCACACAGCAAATAAAGACTGATAGAACTTGGAATGAATATCGATCCACCTGAGGCTCAGCTGCTCAATAAGTAACATATACAAGTCTTGATCAGCAGAAACCATCCCTCTTCTAAGCTTGCTTCTGCAGGTAGCATTTAGCAGTTAAAGATCACCAGCCACTACGTTGCTTCCCAACAAGCCAAGACAGACTTACCCAACGCAGCACCAGCAAGTAGCAAAGGAAACCCAAATGGTTTGAAGAACTCTGCAAAATCGATCCTTTTATATGATTCCAGTGTCCGTGTCTCCGGAAGTGAGACACCTCAGAGGTATGGAAAAGCATTTTTTAATAATCCAGACCTGCTCAACCTCCAATTCTGAAATTGCTGGCTTACGTTATAAGTCTTTATGGAATGCTGCCGCCGAGGTGTTAAACGCCACACTATGACTGCTGCCTGCAAGCTTCTATTCCTGATCCACGCATTTCTGCTGGTGCAAGGAGAACAAAGAACTGATGATAGTGCCTGGAAACAATCCCCCTTGGGATTCAATTTGTTTTGGATAAAAGGTAACTTAGTGCATTCCAGAGTAAGTTCAAGGGACCTGCACAGCAGATCCAGTTTTGGGGAATTAAAATTGGCAAGACTAATGTTGTCATAGCCACACAGATGTCATGAACAAGATCTTCCCCAACGTCTTCAATGTCTTCCCCAACCGAGAAGAAAGAAATGCAAGCTTTGTCAGGTGTTGTGTGGTTTTGGAGAACGCACATCCCAAATTACAGTCTGATTGAAAGCCCTCTCTGTCACGGGACCTGAGAGAAGAACAATTTCAAATGGGGCCCTGAGCAGCAACAAGGCTTTGAGCAAACTAAACGGAACTTAGTTCATGCAGTAGCCCTTGCGCCAGCCCACAATGGCCAAGAGGTGACAAATGGGCTCTGTACCTCAGCCGTGCAGAATGGTCCTGCCTGGATCTTGCCTGGGTCCTCTGACAAAAACCACCAGGGGAGATTCAAGGATGACCCTTTGATTTTTAGAGTCAGAGAGACAGGATATGTGAGGTTCGCTCTGCTTCAAATGGGAAAGGGATCCTGGCTGCCTACAAAGGGCTTCCAGCTGCTTTGGAAATCATTGGCACTGTAGCACAGCTCCTCCTGCCACACACACTGACCATGCTGGCCTGGATGTTCAAAGGGAACGTCTCCTCTACACATCATGCAACCAGTCCTAGCTGGAGTAAGTGTCACTCAGTGATTATGCAATGAGGCTGAAGAGGAAATCCCAGTCATCCAGAAATGCTGGAAGTTATCAGGGACTGGCCAGAGGGCAAAATCTTTGGCATGTCACCAGAGGAGGGAGTGACACGTGCTGAAGAAGACCCTGTCTATGATGAACTGTCTGAATGGGAGAAGGACCCTGTCTTTTTCAGTGATGCGTCAGCCTTTAGACACCATTGCATAGCTGAGAATCCAGGAATCGGAATGCAAAATACAATGAGCCTCCCATGAAAAGAAGTGGCTTGGCTAGTTTATGCCTTCGGGACTATTTGATGGGGTAATGATATCACTACTTCTCTGCCCGAGAGGAACCGAATACAGCACTATCTGTCTTTTCCTGTTTACTCCTGAGGGTTAATGCTCCATGAAGAAGGACAAGTGAGCATCTGAATCCAATTAACCTGGAAAAGAAGAACTAGCTATGAAAATTCTCCATCTCTTTTCTGTTTTTTTTTTCTAAATATTGCAGATATTTCTTGGGGTTTCCCAATAATTTACAATGGAAATTTTATTGTTTCTTCCTATTTTTTAGATGACTGAATAAAGCTTTGTCCTGATCTCTGAGGAATACCTTTTAGAGCTCAGGGCACATTGTCTAACAGAATGAGGAGTGTAGGTCTATGACATTTGCTTATGCTGAACAGCTGTTTTCTGCCTCCCTGTTATAACTCTCATATGTCCAGGGAAGAAGGCTCTCTCTTCTACTTCCTATGGCAGAAGCTCACGATTTGTGTGAGGCTGAATCTCCCCAAGCGATGTGCAATGTCATGGCCATTGGGTATGATTTATCATGGACCACTACTGTTCAGATTCCTCTATGAGAAGAAGTGAGATGTAATAATTGCAGATTACTCACCAGAAATGTGCTCTGGGGCATCTTGAAAGAACAAGCCATTGGGTGCTCCAAGTACAGAGTTGTGCCCACATCTGCTGCATCACAGCTGCGCTGGCTTCCCCCACAGTCTGCCTCCCCATCTCTCCTCCTTCAGCTGCTGCTGCTCAGTCTAATTCTACTCTGCACTACCTCTGCTCTGGGCCTCCAGAGCACTGCCTTGGCAGGTGTGACAGGGTGACTTCAAGTCCCTGAGGACTTGACTTAATTCCGGAGAACAATTGGCAAACAAATGGGATTCTAAGGTAGCACTGCTACCCTGTTAGCAGATGTTCATGGAGATTTACCATGATTCTTCAAGACACCTTGCTAATACTACTGACACTGCGGCAGAATTCAGTGGTGAGTGAATCTGTGTCTTGATGTGGCTTGCCCAGTTGCCACCAAAGACAAGGAAGTAAAGTTGATTGCGAAAGGCTGAGATAGGACTTGTAGGACACACATGGGTGATTGCTTCACACGGCAGTGTCCTAGACCTGCTCACCTTCCTCTTTATAGTGGCTTATTTACCCATTGCTCATAATGGAACGTTTCATGTCAGCCTGTGTGATGCAGACATTGCTGGCCCTAAGCACCTTCAACTTCTGAGGAGCACTTTGGGAAATGATTGAGCTTTCCCAGTCTTTTCAAAAGTACTTTTCAAAAGTTTCTTTTCATTCCCTCTCCCAGCAGTCATCTGGGATATCCCAGACGAGTTCAGGTCTCTCCCAGGGATTTTGCCTTAGACTGTCTCATCATTCTACCAGAAGCTGCCGCTGTACAAACATCAGGGTTTTAGGAAGAAATTCAATGAGCAAGGGTGAGTCTGCAGGAATACCCCAGAGAAGGAAACACTTGCAGACAGCTGATGCTAAAAGTAGGGTTTTTTTATTATTGTTTCTTACAAGAAAAGGAACGAGATGTCAGGAAAGAACAAAGGGGGAAATTCCTCCATCCACATCAGTACAAAGAGGAATTACAGAATATCTCTCCCAGGCAATATTCATGGGGGCATAAAATCACTTAGTTACGTCTTACAAGGAAAGGCATTGTTCTTGGAGTAAATACAGCAGAAATTCAGCAGAGCACGATAAGAAACCATTGGAGGATTTACTCTTCCGAGGGCAGGGAGGGCTCTAGGAAAGCGAAGATGGAAGGCATTGACAAGTACAGGATTCAGTAAATCATTTTCATTCCTTAGGCTTTGGAGACTCCACAGGGCAATGGCGCTACAGAGTAGGGTCACCTTGAGGCTGTCACCATGGGAGGCTCCACATGCAGCCCCTCACAGAGCCATGCAGTTAACTTCATCAAACATCAATGTTACCCAGGTTCACGAAAATAGTGTTGCCATTGGTCACACCTCCACAGCACTGATCAGTCCTCCTGGGATTCTGAGACACATCAATATTGCCCAGGTTCAAGAAAATGGTGTTGCCCTTGGTCACTTCTTCACTGCACCGGTCCGTGCTCTTGGCAGTCGGTGTCACGCAAATATTACCCAGGTTCAAGTAAATGGTGTTGCCCTTAGTCTCACCTCCACAGCAGGTACCCACACACCTGGGATTCTGAGACACATCAATATTGCCCAGGTTCACATAAATGGTGTTGCCCCTGGTCACTTCTTCACAGCACCGGTCCATGCACTGGGAAGTCGGTGTCAAACAAATATTACCCACGTTCAAGAAAATGGTGTTGCACTTGGTCCCTTCCTTGTGGCATGGATCAGCACACCTGGGAGTCTGGGACCCATCAATATTGCCCAGGTTCAAGTAAATGGTATTGCCCTTGGTCACATCTTCACAGGACAAATCTTCACATCTGCTGGTGCCCTCGGTCACTTTCCAGAAGCATTGGTCCCCACATGCACTGGTGTACCTGGTCACTTCCACACAGCACGGAAACGCGCACTGTGTCGTATCAATATTACCCAAATTCAAGTAAATCGTAGTGCACTTGGTAACTTCTTCAGAGCATGGATCCTCACATCTGGGGTTCTGCATCACGTCAAGATCACCCGGGTTCAAATAAATGATGGTGCCCTTGGTCACTCCTTCACAGCACGAATCTTCGCACGTAGTGATGCCCTTGATCCCTTCACAGCAGCTTGGGTCTGCACATGAGGTGGTGCACTTGGTCGCTTCCTCACCACAGGGATCCGCACACCTGGGAGTCTGTGATACATCAATATTGCCCAGGTTCAAGTAAATGGTGTTGTCCTTTGACACTTCTGAGCATGAATCCTTGCATTTAGTGATGCCCTTCATCCCTTCGCAGCAGCTTGGGTCTGTACATGAGGTCGTGCACTTGGTCACTTCCCCACAGCACGGATCCATGCACCTACGATTCTGTGTCACATCAATATTGCCCCGGTTGAAGTAGGTGGGGTTGCCCTGAGGATTCCCATCATTTCCATATGAATACAGATATGGAGCCACAAGAGGGGTGTTAGCCAAATTGCTAATGCCATTCACAAAGCTTCCTATTGCTTTGAAGGGAATACCCTTCACCACAGTGGCAGGAGTCGAAAGGTAGATCTTTGTCAGGTGGCAACCCTTTTGGCAACTCATCTTTGAAGGAAGGGTGATGTCTGAAAGCAGCAAAGGAAAATATTTTGTTGACAACAGAGACATTCAGCTTTCACAAGGTGTTCTATACCCCTCGTTTAACTAGGCTGTTTCCAGGTGAATCCTGAACAATATCCTGGAAAACAGCCTGAAATCCAGAACAAAGCCCTAAGCCCACAAAAAAGCACTTAGACATTTAGCTGCTGGCTGCACGTACTTTTCAAACAACTCGTTTCCCAAAGAAGAAAGAAAAGAAGTGTCATCTAAACTCAAGTACATTATATGGCAGGGTCTGAAATCACGGCAGTGTTCACATGAAAACAAACATCTCCTTGATTTGGGATTTACTGCTTGACGTTACTTCCCAAATTCCACCCAAACAGGAGTCTACTAGGTTTCTGGTAGCTCCTTGTCCACACACAGATCCTCAGCTAGAGGACATGAAGGGCGGCATTGCGACGCAAAACTTCCACAAGGAAAGGAGCTGACGTTTACAGTGCAGCAGCTTTCCCACCTCTCCCACGGAAGTCCTTTGAGTTCTTCTCATCCACATTTCCTTCCAGGCATTGCTTACCCTTGCAGCCTGCAAGATCCACTTCTTCTCATTGCTCTCCACCCACTTTTTCCCTTTGAAGTCCCAGCTTTGCCTTTCCATCTTTCTCAAACCCACTAATTTCATGCCTGAAACAGAGTAGATTGTCCTTGGGAAAAGAGAGAGTTTAGTCCCCTTACAGCTACCCTGAGACTGTTCTTGGTGGAGAAGGCACAGCAATTGCAAAGCACACAGCAAATAAAGACTGGTAGAACTTGGAATGAATATCGATCTACCCGAGGCTCAGCTGCTTGGTAAGCACCAAACACAAATCTTGATAAGCAGAAGCACTCATTAGTCTTTTAACTTGCTTCCACAGATAGTATTTAGCAATTAAAGATCACCAGCCACTACGTTGCTTCCCAGCAAGCCAAGACAGACTTACCCAACGCAGCACCAGCAAGTAGCAAAGGAAACCCAAATGGTTTGCAGAACTCTACAAAATCAGTCCTTTTATATGATTCCAGTGTCCGTGTCTCCGGAAGTGAGACACCTCAAGGGTATGGAAATGCATTTTTTTAATAATCCAGACCTGCTCAACCTCCAATTCTGAAATTACTGCCTTACATTCCATTAAGAATTACATTGTAATTCTTAATGGAATGTGGCCACTGAAGTGTTAAATGCAACAATATCAGTGCTGCTTGCAAGTTTTTATTCCTGATCCATGTATGCTGGGGGATCGGGAACAAAGAACTGATGATAGAGCCTGGAAACAATCCCCCTCAGGATTAAATTTGATTTGGATAAAAGGTAATTTGGACATTCCAAAAGAAGGTCAAGAGACCTGCGCAGGAAATCCAGTTTTGGGGAATTAAAAATAGCAAGATGAATGTTGTCATAGCCACACATATGTCATAAATAAGATAACAGCAACGCCTTTATCAACCAAGAAGAAAGAAACACAAGGTTTCTCAGGTGTTTTGTGTTTTCCAGGAATGTCCATCCCAAATTGCAGTCTGGTTGAAATCCCTCTCCATCACAGGACCCAAGAGAAGAACGATTTCAAATGGGGCCCCGAGCAACAACACGGCTTTGAGCAAATTAAATGGGACTTTGTTCATGCAGTAGCACTTGGCCCAGCCTGGACCAGGCAAGATGTGGCAAATGTGCTCTGCACCACAGCTTTGGAGAATGGTCCTTTCTGGTGCCTCTGGCAGAAAGCACCTGGAGGGACTCGCGGTTGACCCCTCGGCTTTTTTATATGATGATACTGGGGATCCAAGACCTGCTATACTCCAACTGGGAAAGAGACTGTGGCAGCCTATGAAGGGCTTCCAGCTGCTTCGGAAGTGATCTTGGATGACAGATTGGTACTCGTCTTCAAGCACTGTAGCAGTAGAAGAAAAGGTAATGGGCTTAAACTCAAACTGGAGAAGTCCAGGTTAGATATAAGAAAGAAGTTCTTTATTGAGAGGGTGGTGAAGCATTGGAACTTGTTTCCCAAAGTGGTAAATGCTCCATCCATGACAGTGTGCAATGCCAGGTTGGACAGAGCCTTGTGCGACATGGTCTAGAGTGAAGTGTCCCTGTGCATGGCAGGAGGTTGTAACTAGATGATCTTAAGGTACTTTGCAGCCTTAAACATTCTGTGATTCTATGGTTCTACGATTGGCACTGAAGCACAACTGCTCCAGGCACACGGGCTGCCCATGGTGGCCTGGATTTTCAAAGGGAGGGTCTCCTCTACACATCATGCAATTGTTATTACATGGAGTAAGTGGGTTGCACTAATCGCACAATGAGCTTGAATATGAAATCCCATTTATCCAGAAATGCTAGAAGTCATCATGGCCTCACTATGTCCTGGGCTCTGCTAGTGAGGAGAAGAATGGGAAGCTTGGAGGAAGCAGAGACAGGACACCTGACCCAAACTAGCCAAAGGGGTATTCCATCCCACAGCACATCATGCCCAGTTTATAAACTGGGTGGAGTTACCCTGAAGACCCAGATCACTGCTTGGGTCAGGCTGGGTATCGTTCAGCAGGTAGTGAAAAATTGTATTGTACATCACTTGTGTTTATTGGTTTTTTTTTCCTCCCCCCTGTTAGTTTTGTAGCCTCTCCATTTGTTATTTTCCTTATCATTATTCTTATTGCTGGTAGCAGCAGTGGTTTTGTGTTATACCTTAGTTACTGGACTGTTCTTATCTCAGTCCATGGAATTCACATGCTTTCGATTCTCCATCCCCTACCTCCGGGTGGGGAGGCAGGGGGGGACATGGAAGAAGTGGGGAAGCGAGCGAGAGGCTGCATGGTTCTGAGTTACCAGCTGGGCTTAAACCAGGACAGTGACAAATGCCCCTTGGGTGTGGTTGATGTAATGGAAGCAAAGTGTCAACATAGAGGTAAACACTTTTGGGTTGCTGCACAGTGGCAAGATACCACTGCTGGATGGAGAACCTGGTGCTGAATGGGGGAATAAAGTTCCTGCATTGCACATAAAGAATCTGCTGGGGAAAACAGTCTGGGTTATTCCTGCCTCAGTTAAAGGCAAACCCATGCATGGGATTGCTTTTGCTCAAGGACCTGGGCGTATTTGGTGGGTAATGCGGAAAGATGGGAAAGTCAGGAAAGTCCAGTTTGTGCCTCAAGGAGATTTAATTGAGGACAACACAGCCAAGGACATCAATTATATGCTTGGTATCAATAATATAAATTATATTGATTGGTATATAACACTTCAGTGGCAGCTGGCTAACACTAATGACATTTCAGCAGAGTTCAGTGGTGAGTGAATCTGTGTGCATCCCCTTATGTGATGCTGCTTGCCCAGTTGATGCCAGAGACAAAAAAAAACAGAAGCTGATTGCAACAGGCTGAGATAGGACTTGTAGGACACACATGGGTGACAAAGCCACTATGCTAGCCTCCTAGATCTGCTCACCTTTCCCTGGACAGTGGCTTATTTACCCATTGCTCATAACGGAACATTTCATGTCAGCCTGTGTGAGGCAGACATTGCTGGCCCTAAGCTCCTCCAGCAACTGAGGAGCACTTTGGGAAAAGCTTGGCCTTTCCAAGTCTTTTCAAAAGTATGTCAGAGCACTGCTTCCTCGTGCTGTAGAGCATCCCTCTCCCAGTGATGATCTGGGATGTCTCAGATGAGTCCCAGATCCCTCCCAAGACTATCGCCTTACACCTTCCCGTAAGTTCGACCAGAAGCTAACAAACACCAGGGTTTTAGGAAGAAACTCAAAGAGAAAGGGTGAGTCTGTGGAAATTCCACAGTGAAAGAAACACTTGAGGACAGCTGATGCCAAAAGCAGTTTTTTTATTATTGCTTCTCACAAGAAAAGGAATAAGTTGGCAAGAAACAGCAGATGGGAAAATTCCTCCAGCCACATCAGTACAAAGAGGAATTACAGAACAACTCTCCCAGGCAATATTCCTTGGGGGCACAAAGTAACTTAGTTACATCTTACAAGTAAATGCATTGTTCTTGGTGTAGCTACAGCCAAAATTATGCAAGCCTGAGGAAAAGTGTTGAATTATTAACTTTTCCTAGGGCAGGAAGCGCACAAGAAGGCAAAGATGGGAGGCAAGTATAGGGATCAGCAAACCGTTTTCATTCCTTAGGCTTTGGACACTCCGCAGGGCAATGGTACTTCAGAGTAGGGTCACCTTGAGGCTGTCATCATGGGTTTCCCACATGCAGCCCCTCATGGAGCCATGAACTAGCTATAGCAGACATTTCCGCATCTGCTGCAGTACCGCTGGTCACAGCCAGGACTCCGTATGTTCCTGCAGCCTGAAGGATCTCCCCAACCATTTTTTTCCTTTGAAATCCCAGCTTTGCCTTTCCATCTTTCTCAAATACATTTAATTTCATGGCTGAAACACAGTAACATTGCCACTGGGGAAAGAGAGAGTTTAGTCCTCTCTCAACTACCCTGAAATGCATCTCGATAGAGTAAGCACATAAATTGCAAAGCACACAGCAAATAAAGACTGGTAGAACTTGGAATGAATATCGATCTACCTGAGGCTCAGCTGCTTGGTAAGCACCAAACACAAATCTTGATAAGCAGAAGCATTCATCAGTCTTCTAACTTGCTTCTGCAGGTAGCATTTAGCAATTAAAGAACACCAACCACTACGTTGCTTCCCAGCAAGCCAAGACAGACTTACCCAACTCAGCACCAGCAAGTAGCAAATGAAACCCAAATGGTTTGCAGAACACTGCAGAATCAATCCTTTTATATGATTCCAGTGTCCGTGTCTCCGGAAGTGAGACACCTCAGAGGTATGGAAATGCACTTTTTAATAATCCAGACCTGTTCAACCTCCAGTTCTTAAATCACTTGCTAATGTTGGACAGAGCCTTGGGAGACATAGTCTATGGTGACGTGTCTTTCCCATGGCAGGGGGTATGGAACTTGATGATCTTACGTTCCTTTCCAATCCAAACCATACCATCATTCTATGTTAAAATCTTTTATCAAATGTGGCCACCAAGGTGGTACATGCGACACTATGACTGCTGCCTGCAAGCTTGTATTCCTGATCCACGTATTTCCTACTTTGAACAAAGAACTGATGATACAGCCTGGAAACAATCTGCCTTGGGATTAAACTTTTTTTTTCATAACCAAGGTGCACATTCTTGCACCTTGCCTTAAGACAGCCATAGAGACCAGGGTTACACATGGGATAGAACTCTGCAGGCAGCTTTGCTCTGCTCAGCTCTGAAAGTTTGCTTGCTCTCACTAATGCACAATATCCCCCTTACTGAGAAGTTTATTTCCAATAATCTGGGCATAATTTTCCTTGTTGCAACCTGCAGTCATTGCCTCTCCCCTGTCCCTGGGATCGTCTGAGAAAAGCCTCTCCATTAATACTTTTTAGGTAGGTGAAAGTGGCCCCAGGATCTCCCCTAAGTCTCTGCCTCTCAGGAGGAGCAGGTCCTTCAGCCTCTCCCCATCAATCATCTCCTCAACACCCCTGAAACACCTTGGTGATCTCTACCAGGCTCATCCCAGTTTGTTAGAGACTGCCTTGCCTGTGGGCCCCTAAGTGGACACAGCCTCCAGACATTGTCTCACATGTTCCAGATGGAAGGGAGTAGTTACGTGCCTGTTAACTGTATGCTGGAGAGTGCAGCCGAGTATATGGGAACACCCAAGTTTTCTGGGCAGCTTCATAACGCCTCTGCTCCTCAGTCAAGTGTAGTAAGCTAGCAAAACCTAAATTTGTCATTATTTTGTTAGTTAGGCAGGCAGGGAAGTCTTCGCACTGTGTTCAGATCTTCGGTGTCACTCAGACTCTTTCCAGGACATCTGCTGCAGCATCCCCTCTCTATGCAGAGATGCTCCAGGGTGATGAACTGTCTGCGTTTGGTGCTCTGACCATAGTGTCAGTGGCAGTAGCCCTTTCTGGTTTGCTGTGCACATCTCTATCGTATAGCTGGCTAAACTGAGACTGAGATGATACACCATACACAGAAGATAGAGAACAGTGCACAGTTCAACAGCATGGTGTCACTGTTTTCTGCCTGCCACAGTTGCAATCAAGTGAAGATGTTCTTGTGTGAAAACCTCTCATTATAAGAGAGAAGGGAGAGCCAATTAGTGAATTGCCTGTGAGAGATCAAAGGCTCAGAAACTTCCTTCTCTGCTCACTCTAAACTAGCCTTTAGTCACTTGGTAACACAAGCATCAAACCAGTATTACTTGCAGGCAGAGATGAAGGTGTTTATTATCTGGAGACTAAGGTATGGTTTTGTGTCTGCATGCTGTTCTCCCTTTTAATTTGTGTGCCCCTGCTACTGAGCATGGTGGTGCCAATGTAGTGGCTTTTGCCTATTTAACTGGAAATAAATCAATCTGGGAAGCTTGACCACTTGTGTTGCCAGTTCACTGCTGACCAAAGGATTTTGAATTAACCCTCAGTGTAATTCAGCTGACTCGGGTGAACCAGTGCACTGATGGGACAAAGGTGGTGGTCACTTCTCCTATAGCCCATCTGTTCCTTGGGGGTGTACCTGCATGAGGATAAAGGCAACATCATGGCAGCTTAGTAGTGTTGTGTTGTTTGAGTCAGAGCTTCAGGAGAAAATGCAGAACTGCAGAACATCACGAGACTAATGACAAGACAGAGTTTCCAGGAGTCCCTCAGGACACTGCCACCAGCAGCACCATATCTAAACATGACAGTGACAGAAAGAGGTCAAATGTGGCTAAAAACAAAAGATCCTCCAAACTTCACCTCCCATCCTGTCTCTAATGGCATGCAGGATGTGTTGGGATGGAGGATACTTTGCAAAAAACACGACTGACTGACTATCTGAGAGCAAGCAAACAACCATTCGTTTCCTAAATACTTCTCTGGCGTCAACCCTGCTGAAAGGACATGTGAATTTACAAGCCATCTTTGCCCCCCCGAGGTTACACTATAGGCATGGAAATAGCCAGTTTCCATTAAAAATCACTAGTCGGATAATTCATCACAGGGCAGAGGCAGAGCAGGTCTGCGTTAACAAAGGGTAGCCTGCATGTGTGCCTGGGGCACCTCATCTCAAAGGCTAAGCTCTTGAATATACAAGGTAGATCCCAGGTTAAAGTTGCTCTGCTTGTTAGCCATCTTTATTTGTTAGTCCTGAGCTGAGTAAGTATCTTTGGGATTGTATAAACCTAAGCCTATTGCTGGTGTTAATTTTCTGCTATGTGTTGGAATAGATTACTGCTAGCAGCTATGTAAGGGAAATAATTTGTTGGCTCTCACACCTTCTCAGTGACAAGGATTTTAAGAGATTTGATCTTCCTTCACACTTACGTTGCTCTAATTCCCATGGACGCTCTGCAAACTGCTTCCTGTTGTCTCAGCACTAGATTTAGAGGGATAAATTACTGTCTTGCTCACTGAGCACGTACACAGCAGGCAGAAGCCAAAACTGCTGTGCATGTAGTTATTGTCTCAGTGGCGAAGTGACTGCAGCATCACATACAGCAGTGACAGAGGTCCCAGGTAAGAGCACCCAGCCTCATGGCAATCCTAAACAACCACATCTTTCTTTTACCTCTTTAGCCTATTGCTGCTTTTAGCCATGGTAAAGGTAGGACAGTGAGAGCTGCACCTCCTGCAGGTGCTGCGAGATGGGTACTGTCCTGCAAGAGAGCTTTGGGACAAGCAGAAAATACCTGGAAAGGGATTAACTTAAAGTTTATAAAGTTGCTGAAAATGATAATGAAATCTACTCTTATCTATGCAGGAAAATGCTGTTAGAGTGAATTTTGGGGGCTGGAAACAGATTTGAATAAGATAAGCTGAGCTTGGAAATTTATCCAGAAATACAGAATGACCAAACTTCTTTTCATAAGAAGTGGTTGCAGAATTTAAGGAAACAGAAGATTTTCTCTCTATTCATCATTTCAAGACCAAAATGTGGCACAAACAGCAAGCATCTTGCTGAAGGGCTCACCAGCCAAGAAAATGACTGATTCTTTGGGTTGGGAAGACAATAAATTGCTTTTTTTCTTTCAGGCTTGCCTGCAGTGCAGAAAGATGACTTCCCAGTGCAAGGAGCCCTGCCTGTCCCCCTCTGCCTGCATGGGGGATGCTGTGCACACAGACACGTGCACATCACATCGTGCCATGGTGGACCTGGCTGCCTGCCCTGTGCAGGACATGCCCCCCTGTCCTGAGCAGACTTTCCAGGTGGATCCCTGCCCATGTCAGGGTGCTGCCGCCTGTGTGACTGCTTGTGCTGAGGTTGGGCTCACCTGCCCTCCTCCTGCTGTCTCCATGCCTGAGGATATCTGCTGCCCTGAGCACACTGCTGCCTGCCACCCCAGCTCTCCTCCCTGTGTGAGTGACTGTGTGTGCCTAGCAGCGACCCCCTGTGAACCTGCTCAAAGCAAGGGAGGGACCAACTTCCCATTCCAGCCCACAGCCTTGCCAGTGGAGTTCTGCACCCCTGAGACAGCCGGGATGGGTGTGAAAACCTTCCCCGAGCAGTACCCAGCCTCATCAATGGATCCCTGCACGGAGACAGTTGGGACTGGTGCAAAAGCCTTCCCCCTCCAGCACCGAATCCTGACAGTGGAGCTCTGTCCCCCTGACACAGCTGGGGCAGGCTTGGAGACCTCCCCCCTCCATCAAGCAACCTCACTGGTGGAGTCTTGCCCCCCTGAGACATCTGGGACCTGTGCGGAAAACATCTCCTTGCAGCACCCAATGTCAACTGTGGAGCCCTGCACCCTCGAGGTGATCGAGACCAATACGGAAGAACCTTGCTGTGGGCAGGGTGTGATCATTGGTGATCCCCGCCCTGATCAGTGCTCAATTACATGTGTGGATCCCTGCACATCCCAAAGTCCAATTTGTATGGAGCCATGCAAGACCCAGAGCGTCGCAGAACCCACAGGGACGTGCACATCCCAGAGCACTGTGGAGCAGTGCACACATGCAGACACCAGCTCTACCAAGGGTATGGTCAAGGGTACTGGAGCCTGTCCGGCCCCTCAAACACCTTTCCGCTTGAACACCCGCACCACCGCCGTGGTGGAGCGCTGCCTTTCCAGGTGTCAAAGCTGGCTGCGAGGCAAGAAATAAGAGTGGCATCAGTGGGCATGCAGCAAAGGAGAGGTTTTCCTGCGTCAATGAGACCTCCCGTGGTGAGTCTTTTGGTTTCTCACGTGTAACGACAAGGGAGAAAATTGCTTCATGTTAAATAAAGAAAAAATGAAAAAAATACTTTTCAATCATCTGTTAATTATGACTCTTATTTTTATTGCCTAATGTTAACTGCAGAAAGAATAGCAAAAGTGTAATGCAAGTATTAATTGCATTCAGAGACACATTTCATCATCTTCAACCTTTTTTTACTTCCCACGTACAAATGACTTTTCTTAGTCTGTCCTAACTTCAGTTGTGACTTTGCCTTAGCATTTTCTAGCCTTTTTTTGTTTTTTTTTTTCTTCTTTATGGTCTTCTAAATGAAAATTGCCATGAGAATAATCAGAAAAGGATCTCAAAGACATCATTTTAAAAGAGCTAAAGAAAGGTGTTTTATAGAGATATAAACTGTCAGAGAGCATTCAGGGGGAAGAGAGAGAAATGCTGAATAGAAAGAGACTGCAGAAAACACCAGAAGAGTAATGCTGAGAAATGGAAGTTTTGCTGCACAGTGCCCTGTTGAAGACTGGGTAAAACTCTGTATAATTAAAAGCTTTCATCATGTAACAGCTTTTCCCAGAGCAAAGTTAATATTAGCAGCAACCTGTTGCAGTAGACGAATAAGCATTCTCAAAAGTTGTAGAAAGACCAGGGGGAGAAGGTTATGCCAGTTATTCCTGCAGCTGCCTGCTGTGTAATTGATATATCATCTAACATTTCTTGCCTATCAGCCATATCAGACTCAGTGCTAAAATCCAAGGCTTTCTGTACTCCCAGTGGCACTTGGTCATGGGCTGCAGTTTGCTGATAGAGCAGCTTGCTGTCACTGCAAGAAGAGCCCAATTCAGGACAGGGCAGCCTGGAAAGAAAGATGAGAACCCTCCTTCTGTTCAATTAAAGCCATTTTTAATGGATTATGGCACTTTGTTTGCTGTGTCTTTAATATCCCTTGTTAGAAAGGATTTTTCTGTCTCCAAACACACATCAAATACAATATCTTTAGCATAAATATATCGAGTACAACATCCCTGTTAGCAGTCTCTATCTATCTGCAAAGAGATAAAAGAAGTCCTTTGAGTGTAGCCATAATAGCAGTGTATTGGATTGAGGGAATAAATCTGGATGGATCTGAAAAGCTTGACAACTGTTTCTCTTTTTTTCTAGTAAATAAATCAGCAGATGTCATTCTCAAGACACTGTGCCAGATCACCATGCCTGAAACTACATATATCACCCATTACATTGTAATCTGTGAGTTAGATTTGATCTGTCATATTATATTTTGGAAACACCTATAAATCAAACATTAGTGAAGATAGTTTATAGTAGCATAAATGCGACAACTAAAGATGAACCAACAAGGATGATAAGCAGAAGAATACTGTTTACTGTAGTACCAAATATACTTGCTCAGCTCATTGTTACAAGAAGCTCTTTTGACACTTTATTACTAGGCTGCCCTTTACAAATTGTTGGGCTCTCCCACATAATCTAAGTTACAAATAGAACCGCTCATTACACACCTGCATTACCCTGGCTGGCACTTCCCCTCGCAACCCCAACGTTTATGGCAATGCCACCATGATGTGCTCCATCCCAAAATATCTGACATGCAAGCACTCATCTCCTGATGCTCAGAGTTTGCTGGCATCATCCTGGGTGCTTCCAAGTGCATACCAACAATAGTAAAACAAAACCTGGAGAGTGAGCCATTTCCTCCCGCACAGCAACCGCGGAAGCAAGCTTCCTTTCCTCAAGTGTCATTAAGCTGGAAGTATTCATTAAGACCAAGGTAAAGATTTTGTTAGCTCTTTAAAGGACTCCACAGTCCATCCAGGGCCATAAGCGTGTCATGTTTTGCATGAAAACTAAACCTAGAAAGACTTGTCCTTTTTGTTGGGTGCACTGACTGTACTTCCTGCAAATGCTTCTTCATTCAACCAATCTGGGAGGGATAGATAGTCTTTGTGGCTAGGCTGCAGTGATCCAGTCGTATTCCTGGCCTGCAGTGCTGGTGGTTAAGAAGCAAAGCAGGAAGAGGACCAGACCCAGCTAGATCCTTTCACTGGTCCATGTTACCTGGGGATGTACTGTGTTTGCACCTCAAAACTCAGGAGCAGCCTGTTCATTGCCTTACCCCATCTCTTCATTCCTTCGGTTCTCATGCTCCCCATTGCCATGATCTCCTCCCCTCACTCATCTGTCATTATTCCTGCCTTGTGACACCTCATCATCATCAGGGTGGAGTGTAATTGGTACAGCTGGAGAAGAGGCATCAGGTGTAATTGTGGCATTTCTAACATACCAACTAGTAATTTACACCTTTCCTATAGAGGGAAAGGACAAGATGCCGTCCAACCTGGCTCCCACCAAACTTTGTTTGCAAACAGAAGCAGAGGACCTCATTTCTCAGGCATGACCAACAAGGCTGAGAGCTTGCAGATGAACATCTCAGCTGGTACCAAGATGTAGGACCTCATGCAGTACCCCAGGGCCAGTACTGCTTACTTCGTGGAGCCATGTGAGTCATTCTAGGTAGCTAGCCTTTCAGAGCAGGTCAACTGCTCCATGTCTGCACTAGTGAGCAGTGCCATCTGGAGTCCACATTCTCCTGGCCAGAGTCACCAGCTCCAGAGGGTCTCCCAGGCAAGTAAGGAGGCTGAGAAGTCCAGTTAAAACCATCATGCTTGCACATGCAAGCAACTCTTCAAAACACACACGAGCTGCACTAAGTGAAGCATTTTGCAGAAATAATGGGTTCAGCCATTGCCCCATTGACTCTAAATTCCCTGTTTCTCCACCCCATCTTTTCCCTTCTGGCTTTCAGGCTCCCATCCAGCCTCTTGCTGGGTTCAGATCCAAGTGATTTCTGCTCAGGGGCTGTGACTGGCTTTGTTTCAAGCTCTAAACCTCACCACAAACCTGCACCTAGGCAAGAAGAGAACAGCTGGGAGACTGCAAGCGCTCAGCACACATTCCTCTGCTCTCACCTTTCCCCTATAAACAAACAGAAATGTTGCTGTTAAACAAAGCAGGGCAAAGGCAGGACTGATAGAGCCTGGTTTCCACTGTCTGCCCTGTATCCAACAGCTTGATGAAGGGAGAACCGAATAGTCCTTTCTACTATAGCATCATTAATTGAGCCTCTTCATGAAACCAGTTGAAATTCAACAGTTGTTCGAACCATACCACTGTGTCAAATCTGCTTGCAAATAACAGGTTAGGATATTAGAAGTGGAGAACAGAAGCTTTATTTCTTGGGAAAGACAGGCTAAAGAAAGAGGAACCCTATGAAAAAAAAATAAAGAGCAATGTGAATGTGACTTCCCTGTCTGTACATTGCTCTGGAAAAAAAAACAAAGAGAGGAGCAAGCAGGAGTTGCATTCATGCAAGCAGCACAAGTAGCACAGTACAGGACAAGGTGATCTCCCCCCTGCTGCCATCCCACAAGCCTTGTGCAAGCAGCTCCCAGACCTGCATTGTTCGCCTCATTGGGTGCTTCCATAACACAGCCAGACACAC